GCTGGTGTCTTTTGCATTTGCATGACCCTTGTAAAAGTAGTGACGATCATCTTTTACGCGTGTAATTGCATGCTCTAGAATTCAAGTGTTTACGCGCTCATTGCATTGCCAACAACAGTGGTGTTGTCAGTATCGTATGTTTTTTCCGGACTTTAAGAGGCGTACATGGTTTGAAATCGCATTAAACATATAATATGATGTACTCCTTTAAATCAGAATAATTACACGCTGGCAAATTTTGCTTTCACTCCCCAGTACCCAATGTCTGGATACATTAAATACTGACGGTCGTCATGATGACTCCGAGCAGACAAATTTGTTCAGTAGGACAAAAGTGCGAGCGCGACTTCGTTACCATTTGGTAGAAAAGTGGGCATATGCGCCAATGGATACGCATTACGCAGCTACAGACAACGAAACTAGGCGATTTAAGGACTTCAGCTAAAGTCATTATTGTGATACCTCCGCACCTAAATACGGCAAAATGGAAACTTGTGTTACCTCAGTTAACATTCAAGAATACGTGTTGTCAGGACTGCTAATCACAGACATTAATGAAGCAGGTGCCCAAACGACTCCTTCTCAGTGTACGCTCTTCTGTGTTTGTAGCAAGACGATTTTCAAGGAGGGACTACCTAAGTTATTTCCAGCTTATAATTAGACCAACTGCGGACCTGAATTGACCTGTTATAAAATGACGCTTCGCGCGCACCTAACGATTGGGGGCGTTTGCTTTTCAATATCCGATTCAACGGATTCTTAAGCCATGAACCGTTCGGTCCATTCAACAGGTATTGTGAAATTGATTCAATAACCATATGCAACGCTACACTAGAGACTTAAGCGAAACGAAATGAAGTGTATATTTAAGCACCGGAACATAACGTTGTCGTGAAGCTCTAAACAATGGCCACACTAACGACCTTTAATAGCCAATAACCTTTCCCTAAGAGCAACCCAGTTTCCTACAGAGCTCATTTTTGCCGCTGACACCACCAACAAAAGTGCAGTCAGTGAACTAGAGTTTGCAAGACCAATGCTGTTTAAAATTAAGCACCCGGAAAGTGTTATGTGGCACTAATAATGACGACATAGAAGTACCCTGAATCAAAAAAGGAAGCAAGAAAACTTGTGCGACTTTTAGGTCGAACCTGTTTATTTATTGGAAAGTCAACAGCTATTTTTGATCTGGTGGGCCGAACATAGCGTCGCATTGATGGACAGTCAGGGTAGGGAGGAGGGATGCTGGGGTGACTCTGGTTTTGGCTTACCGGACAACCAGAGCTAACCACATCAATTCTGGCAGCCGCCACGATTCTGAAAAAGCCAGAGATAAAGCGTTTCTAAGTATAATGCATGCAAAGATAAGATGTAGTTAGTGCTTAGGGTTTAGGATAAGATTCAGTCGAAACAACCTCAAGGTTGTAGGATAGAAGTTTATGTCGCTTGTAACTTTAAATGTTTTTTTTTCTTTTTTAAAGAACGAGTACATACACGTGTGGTAAGGTGGGGCCAGTATACGAAAACAAATTTGAGCACGTGCACTCTAGGCAAAGTTCACAAGGCTTTAACCCACCACTGGCCCCATCACCCCAAGTCACCATCAAAGTAAGCCTTGAATGAGCCGATTTCAAGACAGCGTGAAATTTTGTCTGTGAAAAATATAAATGAG